GGTAGGCTCCTTATGCAGCTGATCTCTCGGGTGCTGTCTCGGCTGCTGTGATCTGTGACATGTTGTAGGCAACTACGAATGCATTGTTCCGTGCGTTATCCGGCGATCTGCAGATTTGCTGAATCTCGCTACAAAAATCTGCATTCCTCCGCCATCTCCTCCTTGCGTCGTCGTGATCGTATTCTGCTGTTCCCCGATCGTGTCGTCGTGATTGTATTCTGCTCTTCTTCGATCGCATCGTCGTGATCGTATTCTGCTGTTCCTTGCGTCGTCGATATCTAGGTCGTACAAGATAAGTTCTGGCTTATATGCGCGTTAGCTGCAACATCATTGTTTGTAGGCATTTCGATACGCAATGCTCGTATGGCGAAAACGGCAACACTTCATTCCAACGTCACAATAGTCCCATAGTCATAGGTTTCCGTCTTCTTTCTTCCTCTTCTTCTTCTTCATCGTTACAGCTGTCTTCACTCAGTGTTTCTCTCGACTTTCGTGCATCGTATAGCTATAGTACCTTTAGTTCGTTGCTTGGCAAAGGAATACCCTGGTTGTTCGAGTCACGACTCCAAATTGTAGCGTGGAATATACGTTCGTAGACGGTAGACCGTAGATAGTCGAAGAAACGAGTGATGTAAACGGTAAACAACACTTATAGCTTTATTGTAAACAAAGATCAAAACGATGCACACATACCCGTCAGCTATACGTCGGCGTCTCTCCCCCCTACCCGAAAACCCTCTCCTTTTATCCGTCTCTCTCGACCTCGCTACGTTGCGGCAGATATTGTCGAAGGTCGTTGTACCCTGGCCGTGTCGCGATCACCTGTCATTCAAGTTCTCCCTTAATGACAACTGGTCGGCAAACTCGGGGCGACCTCGGTCGGTGACCGTCTACTGTCAATGCTAATTTATTTAGGGCCCCTACGCATGTAGTTAGTGGCCGATAGAGCTATCCCCTGTTCCTTCCGTTGATTACATAGGCGGTGGGTAAAATAATGGTTTTCGAGAATCCCACGCTCCTACACTATATTGAAAAATAGCTGGAAACTGTAAACCCTACGTCTAAGAAAAACGGTAGCTCTGTAAAACAGAAGCATAAAGGAAAACAAAACCGAATGTCTGAAAAGCAATACGTAGGACCATACATGCATATGCCAATCCAGGATTATTTAAAAAACGAATGCTCTGTAAATTGTGCACGTCGCGTGCCGGCATCTTTCATTTAGCCTCATGAATCAAATGGACCTCGAGTCATCAAAGCAGCACTGGGTGTAGTTAGATTGTCTCTAAACGTATCATTAGCATTACGTAGCTACGTGTTATTTATACGCGCGTAACCCTCAATGACGTCCATATAATATGTGTAAACGTGCCTTTCAGATGAATATAATGTTTTATTAAATTATTAAATTAAAGTCTTTACGTAGCAACATCAAGATGCCAGTGCCAAGTGTTCTGTCTATCACTGATTTTACAGTGTAACGTAATCACTTCACATTTATTTCCCCCAACTGACTGTCCTTATTGCACTGTTAAATTCTGTTTGCTACGCATCCCGGAATGTTGTGACAGTAACTTTTTTTATAGTAGGCCTTAACTTTCTTTCAAAAAGTGATCAATTAAACAATTTATTTTATACACTGTCAACAATAACGTAGTCTTGGTGACTCTCCTGTCTCGATAACCCCCGTGTCTTGGTGACCCCTGTGTCTCGGTAACCCCATATAATATCTCAATGATCCCGTGTGTCTCAGGGCCCTACCTGGGGGATTACCTGCAGCTAACATCTGCCACGGGGCGCGTCGGCGGGTGGCGGATAGCCGAACGATATATAGATATATCTCCTTGTATTTTTTTTCTACTATCCTTTTCGTAAATACATTCTAGGTATTCTGTTTTTGAAAATATCTTCTAATCTATGACAATTTTAGACTGGTTACATAGTTGTCTATATTGACCATGTTTAAACCTCCTTATCGTACATCTTTACTGATATAGACTTTTTAATATTTGGATTCGTTTTAATCCAAATGAATTGGAGAAACATGGTGTAATTTTTTTTTAAGTTTTAAGTCTGGGATTTAGAAACGACATCAGTAGGTGACTATAATTTAGGGGCGAACAACGAATTTAATAAATGTTGTCCCGAGTGGGGCTAAGTTACGATAGAGCCATATACTTTTAGAATGTTTTTTATGTTTTGTATCCTAGGAAGTAGATTGCGTTCTGTAATAGAAAATGTATCTAATACCGAGAAATCTGCTCCTAATGCAGTGAAAGAGTTTAATCACGTGAAAGTAACATGTCTAACGACACATAAGCACAATGCGTAGGTGAATGTGATATACACTATATATAGAGAGAGATTGGCTTCCTGGCATGTATATTTTTCATGATCTTTGTGATGTGGGATTTGAGTGTTAGTTATTTTGAATGTTTCCATTTTGTACTTTTTTCTATTAGCCACCCAAAGTTGAAAACAAGCAAATTATGCTTAGAAGAAAGGATTTTTAATTTAATAGAAATATTTCGTGTATTACAGTACATCGAAACTTGACAAAGCATCTTTACAATAGACATGCGAATAAGTACAAATCAGGAATACACTCAATTCATTTACCGAAATACATCTATAGGCCTATAGATTTCCGATTTATTGAAATGCTCATCAATTCGCGATGAAAGACATTGCATCGCCGTATTAGGGTTGAGTTGGAGGCATCTATCTCCATTACGATTCCATGTATGTACATAGATCTCTATACTACTACTTATCGCGCTCAGCGTTCAGAGACATTTACACTAACAGCAAGTCGATATCGTCGTGCGCAGCGTAAGCCGTGTTAGCCATGACGTACACCGTAGCCTCCGCGTCCACTGTAGCCTCCGAGTCCGTATCCGCCCCTGTATCCACCATTGATTCGACCACGGTATCCTGCGGCTGCCATGCCGATGACCTGCATGCGCGTATAACATATAACTGCAAACTGTGGACAACACAATGTCAAATAATTGACTGAATATATGGAAACATTTTTGATATGGGTATTAAGAAGCATATTTATGTATATCTTGCGTGTGAGCTACAGCAAATGAGAAAATAAAGCAACAGCGAGGGAGATGAATCGAGTAACAACGAGAGAGAGAGAGAGAGGAGGGGAGGGGGGGAAGGAACACACACATGCATAATATACGGTAAGGGTTAATAAT